AACATTCCTTGAGTCATAAGGCCACACTGATCTCTGATTCTGCCTGCATCTCCACAGCATGAAAAACGTTTGCCTGTAATAAAAGAGAAAAAAAAGGGCTGCTCCTATAATATAATCACCATGCAACACCTGAGCAGGCTGCAGTGAGGGAACAGGTAACTGCTGACCTCAGTCAGCCTGCAGTCATCCTAAGCCTGGTGATTTCTAGAAAAAGAGAAGAAAAACAAGAAAAGCAGCAGCATTACAARCCCTTTTTTCCTCTCAGGGCCTCACTTTCCCCTCCCAACCTTTGTCTCTTGTTTCTTTATTTTCCAGAGGCTGCAGGGCAGGGTTTCCCTCCCCCGTGTTTGCCCAGGGCTTAGCACAATGCCTGACCTGTCAGGCCCTGAGCATGGAGAGGGGACCCTGAGGAGTGGCCCCTGCATGCACTTCCTTGTCCCCAGCCCCACGTCTGGGTCCCCTCTGCTCCGTGACYGCTGGCCCTGCGTTCTGTGCCATGGTGAAGAGGTGCCAGGCTCCTTGAGCCCTGCTCCACACCCCTCAGCTCTCACAATCCCTGTCGCACTTTTTCCAGCCAGTCTCATTGCTGAGAAGGAAATACAAGGTGGCTTTGCTGTGGCAGCAGAGGTTCCTCCAGAAATGTTTTAGCACACGCGATTTAGCGGTCGTTTAATCACACAGGAGTTTCCAAATGAGGTGAGGAAAGCTGGAGTCAGACTCAAATGTTTTCCCTTCCATCTCCTTCCATCCATCAGGATARAACTGTGAGACTCACACTGCTGCAGGATTAGCATGGGAAAGCATAGGATATTCTTGAGGAGAGCCCAGGAAAACCAGGCATCAAAGAAGCTGGGGTTCAGCCCATAGCCAAATTCAGAACCAAACTGTGCCATGTCCTGGAATAACAGGGGCAGTGTTCCCTTTGGCAGGGAGTAAAACACAGAGACACTCTGGGGGGAACAGAGAAAAGCCACACAAAGGTAACCCCGCTGATGCCAGACTGTGCTCCTGGCTCAAGAGCGGCCTGARGGACAGTTTGCATGCTCAGCACAAACCCTTCCAAGAAGGGCACGCTTCAGCCTTAAAACCAGTCCAAGACCAGTCAGCAGGCTCACCTCAGCTGTACTCAAAACCAGCAAGCTTTTCCAAGTGTCAGGAGAGATGGGWCGAGCAAACATGCAGAGTTAGAGGGCCCTAGAATACTAAAAGAAGGCGTGTATAATTTGGCAGGATTTTAAACATCTCTTTATAGCTTCAGCAGGAAAAAAAAAGCCATATTGTTAAGCTTCACTCTAAATAAGGAGAGCAGGCTTTATTCTGAGCAATAAAAGTGAGATTTGAACTGGCAGTCTTGCTGTGGGCAACAGAAACTCCTTAAACCCATGTTTTAGACTCTGTTTCTACTTTGTGGGAGAGAAGAGAAGGGACATCAGCGAGGAATTAATGCTCTGACCTTCCCTCCAAGCTGTGAGCTGCCAGAAGGCACTCTGGGGACTCTGGAGTTCAGTCACTTGATGTGTTCCTTCCTCATCCCATTACAGCATTGCTTATTTCCCCCACAACACCCCTATTTGGGAGTTGCTATGACAATTTGTAGCATTTCTTACAGTGCTGTACGCACACAGAGATCAAGAGGCAGCTTTCTTTTCCAGGATTTAATMATTTTAAACCTTGAATAGGAAAGTTAGGCTCAGTCCTGCTGGTTAYCTGCTCTAATAGGTGAGTTAGAGGTTCTAATCCAACCTAAATTTGATGGAATATGATTCTTGGGCACAGATACAGCTCGTTACAGGMCAGAAATGAGCCTACAAGATGGACCAGTAACAGTAAATAAAATAACAGTGCATTTRAGGCTGCATTGTCCTCCCCCTTCTGCGTGTGGAAGCAATTTTGYGTGAGTTCACAACTTAATGCAAAGGGACACGGAACAAATAGGCAAAAATTCTSATAGGGACTTATGGATCACATGCTGTCTGATTCACAGGCAAGGAGAGGCAGCGCTCTCCTTTGCTTTTAAGGCATTGCCTTGAAGTTACACCTCCTGACTACCCCTGATCACGTTTGTCTCTAAGGCTGAAGGGCTCTTCTGGTTCACAGCAGCTCTGTCAAGACCCCCCAAAAGGAGCTATAAACACCAAGTACATCTCATCCTCCACACTAGACTAGAAAGGCTCCCATTTGGGCATCAGTAAAGCCTGAAATAACCATTTAAATCCTGCTTTGGGGATGTGTTCTCTAGCYTTTAACCAGCATGAAGTGATGAGACACTCAAATGTTTCTTCTTGCCCTCTCCTGTTATCCCATATCTCATGTCCCTATGCCATGCCTCACACAGGTCCCCTCGAGGTGTCAGTCACCCTGAACACAGCAGGCACACAGGGCAGTCAGTCACCTAAAAATTTAGCACTTGTACATCAACCTTTTCCTTCAGTGCTTCATTTTCCAGCGGGCCTGTCCTTCCTTTTGCCCTCATTTTCCTGAAACACTGTAGCTGTTGCAAAAGCCACAATCATCCCATAATATCCGTAGTCTTAACATCTGACCCGCAGCAACCGTGCTTGCCATCATCTCCGTGCTTATCTGATAAACTAATGCTTTATGGAAGCAATTATGTCCTATCTGCAGTGCCTCACGTTAACATCTTCCGAAGGGCTGGAGCGCTCCAGCCCCCTCCTCCCTCCCTGAGCTGTTCACGATATGAAAAGAAACTGGATATTAGCTGGCTCAGCAGGAGGAACCACTTGACATTCCTCAGTCAGAGGAGGCAGAGAGGGAGATTATTGTAAATTGGAGCGGACGGGTGCTTCTCGGTGCGGCGCAATCCGGTGTCTCCGTGCAGCAACCTGCAGGGGAAAGGCTCCAGCCCGAGGATCCCCACGGCTCATAAATCAGCTGGATGGCTGTGGGGACACCCCACAGGGCTGGGCTTCCTCAAAGGTTGATAACCTYCCCGCTATCCGTGAGAAATCATACAAAGTACGTACAACGCCGCGCTGTTTCCTCCTGCGCTGGAAAATCCGTGTGCCTCACATCCTTCCGTGTCCTGGCCTTGCTTGTCCCCATCTTGTCCCCTCTGCTGGGTTTGTTCTGTTTATCTCCCGCACCTGGGTTAATTGCTGCAATTGACCGATATGAGTGGTGCAATGGGATGTAAATGAAGTAGGGAAAAAAAGGAAGGGGAAAGACCTGGGTGGGCTGCAGCAGCAATAGGAAAAGCAAGGCCAGCTGCATCCTGCAGAAAGCCAGGTCAGCTGAAGAGTATAATACGCCCTTTAAAACGTTAATGGTGTAGATTCAATAGCAGGGTTTGGTTTGTTGGTGTTTTTGCTGACTGCAGGGGAGACTCCAGCAGCTCTGTCACCACCCAGGATGTGCAGGGTACCCCAAACTCGGGGCAATCATGGCTGCAGTTTGACCTGTCCCACCCCACGCGTCCTTCTTGCAGCACAAGCCTCGGGTCACTCTGTTCCTCCAGGACTGGGAATGATAAGATCAGCTCACAGAGCTCCAAATTTATTATCATGCACAAACAATGCTCACATCTGTCCAGTGCTCTGGTCAGGATAAACACAYGCACACTCCCTCAACGTGAGGTCTGCTCTCCAAGCTCATCTAACACAGGCAGGGCTTTTGCTGTTCTCATCCCTCCTTAAGGAGCTCWAGGAACAGCAGCTTGACTTGGTTAAGCACATGGATGGGTCTGGATTGCACCATGGAGGCCAGTGGCCTTTATTCCAGGATTAAGGAGCAGGTCAGCTGTCCCTGTTTCCATAGCCACTGTTTTCTCCTCAGCAYGACAACATGAATGAACAGGTTTTCTCCCAATGCAAGTCTCAGTGCTCAAGGAATTTCTCTAGCTTTGCTCCTAGAGAGGCATTTTCAAAAATGCAGGATTTTTTAACACTTGTCACTRCTTAGAGTCTCCATCTGGCAAAGGAGAACAGGACCTGAAAGTGTCTTCACTGCCACAGGTGCTATTAACACCTTTCCATGCCAAACCTGCTGTTTGACCTCTTCTCTCAACAAAACCCTCATTGCCCATAGGTGGTTTCTTGCTCCTTTAGGTGGATTTCCCAGGATATTCTGTACTGATCTGCTTTTCCCCTGAAAAGCCACTGTCAGCCAGTCCAYGCTCACAGCAGAGCTCCACAAGTGAGCAGCATGATTGCTCCTGGAAATGAAGATGGCCCGAAGTGACATCTTCCATGCCACATAATCTCACAGCCACCAGAGAAGATATTTAGCAATTTCTTGGAGCGCAACTGTTGCTACCATAGAAATAAATTCTTTTTCTCGTTCCATTTTGAATTGGGAACCACAGCTTTGGCATCAAAAACCCCACCCTTGCTGTTAACTCCAAGCAACCACTTCAGAAAGGCAGAATTGCAGCACCAGCTTTAGAAATGTGAATTGCTCCTCATCCCAAATATGCAGAGCCTCAAAAATTGGGGGAGTCCTTCCTCTGAGAAGGGCAATGAGAGAAGGCACCTTTTCTATTAAACCATCTTCTCAGCACAACTGAATATAACTCCTGGCACTGCTGAGGAGTGTAACTTCAAGCATTTGAAGGATGCTTCRAGGTTTTTAGAATGAAGCTGAAAAGCTTTTAGCTTTTAAACTTTCCATAATAAAACAGCATTTTAAGATCCCTATTTTTAAAACAAACAAAAAGAGAAACAATCTGCTAATGGTTTTCAAAATACTTTGTAGTTAAAAATGTCTTATAAATGTAATGGCTCACAGTCCAAGCAACGACTTCAGAAAAGTCAGAATTGCAGCACCAGCTTTAGAAACATGCATTGGTCCTCATCCCAAACATGCAGAGCCTCAAAAATTGGGGGARTCCTTCCTCCGATGAAGGCCAGTAGTTTTCAAAATACTTTGTAGCTAAAAATGTCTTATAAATGTAAAGGCTCACCCTTCCAGGCTCGCTTTGTGAGAAATCCACACCCACAGAGCCCTGGCATGTCAGGTTGACACAGTCTCCTCTTTCCATGCAGCACTTACATCAAGATTTGGGCAGACACCCAGAAAGAGCTGGACATYATGATCCAGAGAGAACAGGAGGAGTTTTCCCAGCCACAGGAGGACCGCGAGCAAGTGAGGAAGATGTTGATCACTTCCTACATCCAGTACCTGGACATCATCCGTAAGCTGGAGGCGGCCCACGACCACATCATCCACCAGCAGAAGCGGGCGGCGGTTCGGAAAGTGCTGGATGGGGCCATGGGCCGCCTCCTGGAGATCAAGAAAGAGATGGTGTCCCTGGAGAAGTCYGAGTGTCACAACATGGAAGATGTCCTGAGGGATCTAAAGCGTGTCCCGGTAGGGCTRCTTCCATTATGAGCAAATTTGTAGGAAAAAGATAGGTTTTAGTTGTTCATGATTCCATCTAAATGGAACAGAAGGCTTGCTATGCTCAACCAGCCCTAMCCTTTAGGGASASCCAGCTGCCTCCCTGGGGTCTGGCKTATGGATGTCACCAGGACACTTCCAGGTTTTTCACAGCCYGTGGACATGACCTCCCTGCAGAGGGCAAGGAAATAGTAACACACGTCTGAGGGTGATCACAAAAGATTTCAGGGTTTTGGGACATTTAGCAAAGGTTTCTGGGGCACAAGTTGTTTTCTCCTCCACACTTGCAGTTGAAAGGAGCAATATTGAGTCTATMATTACGTGGCTCCCCAGCCGGTGTCATCGCCATGATTTTGAGGGTTTTGGCAATGGAATGGCCTGTGCAGTGCCATGAGTGCTGGCATCAGATGGGACTGACCTTTCTCAGCGAGGGAGGGCAGTCTTTGCTCAGGAATGGGCAGAAGCTGATGCCCAGGGATTTCCACCTGAGCATCCAATTCCATTCCAAGTGAGGCAGAACTTTCCTGTGCAGCAACTGAGCACTGAAACAGAGACCAAAGGGGTTGGGGAATCTCCCTCCCTGGGGATATTCCAGAATGTCTGGATGCAATCCTGTGCTCTGGGATGGCCCTCTGGAGCAGGGAGGTTGAACCAGATGGCCCTTGGTGATCCCTTTTAATTTGCCCCTTTCTATGATTCCATATTACAACATGAATTTSTATTCATAGAATCCCAGAATAGTTTGGGGGTGGAAACGACCTTAAAGCCCATCAAGTCCCACCCTCTGCTATGGGCAGGGACACCTTCCACTCTCCCGGGTTGCTCCAAGTCCTATTTAACTTGGCTTTGGACATTTCCAGGGATCCAGGGGCAGCCACCGCTTCTCCAGGGCCTCCCCACCCTCACAGGGAGGAATTCCTTCTCAATATCCCATCTAAACCTTCTCTGTGTCAGCAGTAACTTACACAGCTTTTCTGTTAAGCGTCAGGAGCTTGACTCTGCCAGATTTTAATGTGGAGTGAGAGAGAAAATGGGCCACTGATGAGTAAAGTACAGTTCAGTGCTGCCTGCCCTTCGTGGCACGGTGAAATCAGCGCCGTGAATATGACAATGAGGCAAAGCGTGGAAGCTGTGCTTTAAAAGCRGTGGGGAAACCGAGCTGGTAGAGGTGGTTACTTCTCTCGCAGACAGCTCCATCTATTGTCGCATTCAGGTACCGCTGCTTTGCTAAAAACTGCTGAAATTCCTGCTTTTTTTTCCAGGATCCCAGCTCCCAGATAAATTGTTGGTGCCATCACAGCATTTGCAAACGTGTTTCTGTTTGCACATCTGCAAATTTAGGATAGGAATTGCCAGGAATTTTCGCCACCCCTTTACCTTCAACATTAATCACTATTTTAAACKATTTTAAACTGAGATAGTATAAACACATCTCTGGGGAAAGTAAGCCTTCAAATCATATTTTGAAATCCTTAGCAYTGCTGTTTTCATGACGCAGCAGTAAATCCATCTGCAGCAAAAAGTTGGCAAGTCTGAGAAGTCGTGCTTGACATCTCCTCAAAAACAAGCATAAATTCARATTCCTGCACCACACCTTAATGTTAAGGAGGCAGAACATACCTACCTACCACAAAAGAAATCAATCACTGAAGAGATGTCAGGTTTAAAGAAAAAAAAATCCATAGTAGATAAGAATATAGATTTATAGGGTGTTCTTTTTAATAAAATATTTAAATATTCTTGGTAACAGAGCAAAATCACTGGACAAATAAGTCCTGTTTCTCCAAGAATCTGCCCAGAAAAGATATCTCCATTTATTCTTTCCCCTGTATTATCATGGGCTAAAATCCTACAGGATTGAAGGCAGACGCCACAACATTTTTTATCTCCTGTAATGACATTGCCTGTTTTGTACTGTGTCATTGTAAGGCCAAGCTTTCTTATTTCTCCAGTTCTGTACCTTGGGGTTTTGTGCAGTTGCCTTCCAGTATCCAGTCACTCCATTTTCTGGGGTAATTGTGAAGGTATTTGGATCCATAAATCCCATGTGGAGCCGGGAGTGGCTAAAAAGCTGCAAATTTGACATGAAGTTAAACATCCCAAGCCTGACTTTTCAATGTTGGGCCCCAGAAAGAGATTATGAAGAGAAGCAGGTTCCCCAGCCCTGGCRCTGGGGCTTTGATCTCTCTTTTCCAGTCAGAAAAAGTCACAGTCCAGAATCCCTTGGAATTAAAATCCAGGTGAGACATCAGAGATACTCCTACACTGACTCACTCTGCTCCCTGTCAGCCTAAAATTCCTCTCATCCCATGTGAGGGTGTCCAGACAAACCCCTTGATTCCTCACACCTCCAGATTTTAATCCACCCCGAGTGATTTGCACTCAKAGTGCAGCACATAATCATTTCCATCAATACCAAGGGTGCTGGAAGGTGCAAACAGGGAGCTTAGCAAGACAAATATTTAGAAACTTCAGCACACCAGACCCTCTGCATCGATAAAACCATCAGGGCTAAACACAGCCTGTCTTGGAAGCTTTCTTACCTTGCAGTGGTGGGGCTGTCCCTCAGGGTGCAGCTGAGGGAATGGGGAATAAAATCTGTGAGCTGGCAGCTCACAGGGGCTGTTTCTGTTTGCCTTGGCCACAGCCCTGCAAATTCTTGCCCCAGGAATTGGAAGGTCACGAGCAGCACATTCACTTTGTGCTGAGGAAGGGCAGGAACGGAGTTTGTTCCTCAAAGCTGGTGCTATTCTCTTCCTCCCCGTCCACTCCAGAGCTGGCACTGAGGCTCAGAGGGATCAGAAAATCTCCCTGAGTGGGTCAAACCCACCAATTCCCATAGCAGACAGATCAAGGAATGCTGAAAACAGAATTTAGGGATCATGGAGTAGAAGGGACAGTTCTCCTCCTCTTTGTCCACTCCAGAGCTGGCACTGAGGCTCAGAGGGATCAGAAAATCTCCCTGAGTGGGTCAAACCCACCAATTTCCACAGCAGACAGATCAGCAAGTACTGAAAATAGAATTTAGGGATCATAGAAGAGAAGAGANCACTCTCAAAGAATCATAATTACCAGTAATTCTCCTTTTAGATAATTATCCTTTTAGACAGGAGAGTTATCTCCTGTCTTCAATGCAATACAAGGAACAGGTTGTGTCACCCCCAAGCCTCTTAACTTTCAGGGAGAGGTTTTTTTGCCTTTCTCTCTGTGTCTTTTTTTGTTGTGGAATAAAATCCTATAGGAGAAAAATCAGGAGAAATGTAAATCAGTTACATTTTCTTAATTACAGAAATGAGTAAAGACACCCACTTCTAGTCATGCCTGATTTTAAGAAGTGCCTGAGATATCACAGTCACAGGCACTTTGTCTACAACTCAAAACACCCATTAAAACCTCTACAATTGTGCTTTAGTTCCTTATAATGGTTAAAAAATGGCAAGAGAACGGATCTATTTTTCATGTTGATTAAAACAAGAAGTGGGATGATCACACAACCGAAGGTATTCAGCTCCGTGGAAATCATGTTTAAATTTCTGGCAACTCTGCCAAATATTTTAGCAATTTGATAATATAATTGAGCCATTATAAGAAGAAAGATTTCTGGGCTCACATGGTTCACAAACTGGGTTGATTTATTTGTTTTTGTTGAATTAGGCCTAAAGTAATTGAAAAGTAACAGCAGCTGTTACAAAGGTCAAATTCCCCAATATTCAAAAAATATTCCACAACATCTGTCCTTATTTTGTTGCTTTGCAAAGGTGTTAAATTAATCAGCAATGTGATTTAAATGCAGTCCTAAAATGTATCTCATGCCTTTCTTCCCCTAGGAAGACATAGAAATACCCATCCCAAAGTATTTCCTTAAAGAAAACCTGARAACCCTGCAGGAGAGGGAGAAATACCTGGATGAGATTTTGCTGAATGCTGGTTTGCTAGAACAGGTAAATGCACCCCATTCCCACCCCATATGATATTTGATTTGTTTAGTTTGCAGCCACATGTGTCTGATCACACGAGCCACTGCAGTGAGSAGCGCTTTTCCAGCAGCGAGGGAGTCAAAGTGTGTTTACAGATAAGGCAMAAGCAGAAAGTAACTTTAGATTTCCCTGTCAAACAACATCCAGTCACATCTCCGGCCTGGTTGAGSCTGAAATGATTCTGCTCTGCTTTCTGAGTGTCAGAACGAGCAGCACTTTGGCCAAGTTAATGCTTTATTTGCCCAACCAACCTTCACCATGTCATTAGTCTGACTGAAACCAAGCTGGGCTCAAGCTGTCCTGGCCCAGAATTCCTCATTGGAGCGAGCAGAACTCGGAGCTCAGGTCAGCACAACTGGTGGCATTCCGCTGTTCATAACCTCTGAACAAGGAGTGCAGCTCCCCCCGTGCAGCTACAGAGCTGCAGCTGCTGGGAGGAGCAGAAAACTGAGTTTTGGCAGAGCAAAAGCCATCAGAGCTGAGCACACGAGTGCTCCAGTGAAGCTGCCCTGGATTTGATCTACTTTTGACCTTTGGGGAATGGCTTCTTGCCTACAAGCAGGCACTGCTGACCTCTGGAAGTAAACAATTGTGTCTGCATGCCTGGATAACTTGGATTCATAGATGTTGTGGCCATAAGAGACAGTCCTGATAGCCCACTCTGTCAAACTGCTGCGCTGAACTCTGCAGCAGTGATTGCGCCTGTTGATCCCACAAAATAACAGAGGGAAAGTCCCCAGGGATACAAACAGCTCCAGACAGAGGCAGAGGCTTTGCAGAGCAGCTGCAGCCCTCCCCTGTTCCTCCACRGGATAGCTCTGGGTGAATTCTCTGCTCTTATACTCCTGTGACATTGCTCTGGGGAGCTCCTGTTCCAGCACAGTGTACCCAGAATTCTGCTCCTGTTCCTTTTTCAGCAGATGAGTTTGTCTAGTTTGCACCTAGCCTGCCACAGAGAGCCAGAGGATTCAATAAATAGCAATAAAATAACCTCACCCAGTGTAAATCCGATGTCCCGTGCTGCACTTCCAGCTCAGTCACTGCTGGCATTGCTGCAGGGCTGTCAGCACTTCTGCACCTCGTCCTCTCAGGAAATCCTGGCTGCTGTGTAACCAACTGGAATTCTCCAGTGGCTGTGGCAGTGCTGCTACAAGCAGTCCTACATAAATCAAACCAGTGGAGTTCATYTCGGGAATCTGCTCTGCACATCGTTTGTGTCACTCTGTCCAGGAAATCTATTCTGTGTATTCTGTCCTAGAAAGCCCTGCTGAAAGTGAGTGCCACACAATATGTGCCTGAAAATTAAACATGAGCTGGGAATGATCATCAAGAAAGGCCACTAATTCAGCTTTTCCATGGGGAGAATGAGCAATCAGCAGTGAGAAGAGGGAGTCCCTTTCTCCCTTTGCACTGTTCTGATATATTTTTTCCCTTCCTTCCATAGTCATCGAAAGAACTGCGTTCCTAGCACACCCAGAAACCCATTCCCTCAGAAAAGTTAGGGAAAACATTCCACAGCCTAAGAAATTCTCATTTTAGTGGGACAAACCCTCGTGGTTTGTCGTGGTCGTGTCGTTTTGCTCAAATGGATCAAGTTCAGCAGGATGCACGAGCCATTGTGGCTTCCCGGCAAAGCTGGTTTTCCTCCTCACACAGCAACAGGAGTGAGGAGGAAATATCTTGTTTCCTAAGATRTTTTCATCTTAAGAGCTTTCTACAGATTCATTCCTTGTTTCAWTTTCTAACTGAGGCAGGCAGTTAAAAAACCATAACTTTTCCTTGTTCATTCCTTTTTTTTGGCTGTGCTGCTGAAGGAACCTAGCACAGCCATGACACTYGAAGAAGGCATCCGGTTGATCCAGGTGGCAGAACGGGCTCGCCAAGGCCGCTCTCGAGCTGCGTTCATGAAGAAAATTTACCTCGAAGAGAAAAGACAAGCTCAACCACAGGACCAGACAGATAAAAATCCAGATGCTGCTGCCACTTGCATTCAAAAGGTGAGTTTCTGTAAAAAAAAAAATGGATGGAACATCAATTGTGGCAAAACCAAATGGCAATGTTTTGGTTTCTGTAGACAGAAATATAGATCACAGGATGGGAAGCATTCTGAAATGATCCTTTTCAGGGTGCCCAATGAGGTGAAATACATCATTTAAACCACTTAAATAAAATGAGACGGGAGCCTGGATGTGAGATCAATGGAACCAGTCCTGTACTGGCAGTGCAGGATGACTTTATAACCTACAAGTTGTTTTTCCATTCTGGTTTTTATGACCTTGGTTGCTCTTTCTGGCATCCCCTTGGAATTCAGTGCATCTCTGAATTCATGCCTTTTTCTGTGGTCTCCAGGGRAAGAGTTCATTCCATATCTAGGAAAAAGGACAGAGGGAGATCAGTGCTAAATTCCAGAAGAAGTTCTTACACATGAATAATTCAGACAATTCAGCCTGACAAGAACAGGAGYTCAGCCTAAATCTTATGTCTAAACACTTCATGAAACAGTGATAGTTTTTTAGAAGCCAGAGAGGCCAGTGTGAGGGGATAACAAATCCCAGAATTTGTTTAAAGAAAAAAAAATAGCAGATGGCAACCTGTTAAAAAGCAATCGTTTCAATTGTATATTGTGCCTTTCCTTCCTCGATTTGTTTTTTCCTGTGTCTGCCCCAGAAAAGGAAGCTGTACCAGGGCCCATTTATCTCATTAAAGTTTTGTTTACAATCCAGGTTTGGCGTGGGTATGCCCAGCGCAAGAAAACAGAGAGGCTGAGAGAGGAAGAAATGATCTTTCTGGGCATGGTGAGTGGTGCTGTGCTTGAGAACATGAAATGCCACACTCTGTTTGTTCTTCARCCTTTTATAATTCAGCCCAAGAGAAGAAATTAATTTCTATGATTCTTCCCATTTTAAAGGGAATCTCTAGGGAGTAGAGAACTCAACTGAGATGATAAATGGCACAGGAGGAGCACAATTTGTCTTCTGCTGAATGCGTTTGGGCTGTCCATACACTCTCCAATGTGTGTGGCAGATGTGGAAACTGGCTGTGGAGAATTTGCCCTGGGTTCCAGGGAATTTGACCCAAGCATGATCAGCAAGGAAATTTTATTAATCAGCTTTTCAGTCATGATTTCCAGACTGGTGAGCTGCCTTGTTTCTGGAGTAGAATTCATGGAAGTTGGAAAATTCTTCTAAAATCATCGAGTCCGAGCTTTAACCAAGCCCACCACTAACCCATGTCCCCAATGCCACATGCTCACATTTTTTGAAATGGAGTCAACAGTTTTTGACTCCACCACTTCCCTGGGCAGCCTGTCCCAGTTCTTTTCAGCSCTTTCAGTGAGGAATTTTTCCTAATTTAATGAAAGCAGCAAAATAATTTTCTCCCCCCCCCTTTGCCAGCCATGTTGAGAGAAGGGAAGAGAAACCTTAGAACAAGCASATTAATCCATCAATATTTCTCCAAGTCCATACAAAAATAACCAAAATCTTCCTCACRTCATCCAGCAGAAGCACAGGGAAGTGAACAGCTGCCCATAGTCACTTAAATTGCCCAGGGSTGAAAGAAAAAAATTAAAGCGCCCTTTCCAAAAGGAATCTGTTCCTCCCACTGGCTTCCTTACAGCAAATACCTGAAAAAGAGGATAAATTCTTTACTGTTGACATTTCACCCCCACCCCCCCCTTCCAAATCTTTGGAGGCACTAAAAGGTGTCAAACCTCACCCAACTRCAGCTGCAGTAGCACAGCCCTTGTACCAAGCTATAGTAAAGTTCTAGTAAAACAGCAGCACATCATAGAAACATTCAGCACTGCTCTGCATTTGTTAATTTTATTTCTAATTCCATGTTCTACAGTTCTTAAGTGATTAATTCATAAACTAATAACTTCATTTTGACTTAAAACATGCTTTCTGCCTCTCCCAGGCAGTTTGGGTGATTTTTTTGCCCAGCAGCGAAGTTGCCCTAAGCTACTATAGAGTTCTGAAAACTGATTGTRCCTGGAGAATACATCTCACATTAGTTAAAAGAAACATGAATACCTTACCTTTAGAAAGAAAAATGTATATTTACCTAAACTTTGCCATGTTAAGTGCAGGTAACACCTTATGGATTATTGCCTTTAATATCTGCTGGTCTCAACAGCTAAACAGAGCCTTTGGTGCCAATTCTGCCTCTGTTAAAGACTAAATTYCCAGAGATTTTAACTAGTGCAGACCTAAATACTTGGGATTTATTAAAAATCAGTTAGAAAATGCACCTTTTGCAAAACAAGGGATTGTTTCCTGTCAAATCCCATGATGTTTGTGTTGAGTTCTTTGGAAGGAAATCTAAATCTGGCATCAGTTATTTGAGGGTTCACAGCCAAGCCCTCATTTCAGGGTGGCCCACGGTGGGAGTAGCTGGTAACAAGGATGTGAATAGCCTGGTTTATGGGGAGCATCATGTAATCTATATGATCAGAGGGATGGAGGGAATTAAAACCAAACACATCGAGTGTGTTCAGTTCCTGACCTYCTTTTAAAAGCAAGAGAATTGATGTTTGCTCCTCTGCACTCCGACTCATTGCCCTTTAGCAAGTTCATAATCAAAGCGTGTGGAGAAAAAATTGGTGCTTCCAAAAAAAATTTTAAAAGAAAATTTTAAAAAATCTGTTCATCTTCCCAGTGTTTTTCTATTCCCTTTTCCTTGCCATGCTGCATTCCCTTCCCTGGGCTCCAAAGGAAGCAGGCACTGGTTCCCACTGATAGATAGGCAGGGAGCTCCAAAGGTCAAATCCCTTTGATGTATGATCACGTCAGCCTCTAAAAAATGACCACAGATCTTCATGTGTAAATATGTTGGATTTGCTTTTCTAATGCTGCACGACTTAGATAAATTAGAAGACCCAACCATCCATTACTCCAAGTCCATCCCAAAGGAGACTCGACTTTTGTTGCAATAAATATAATTTCTCTTATAATTAGGGCTTTTTAAAAAAAAAGTCTGTGATGCTTTCAGACAAAGACTGCTTTGAACAAAGAGCTGATCCATTTGAAGTTCTGTTTWAAAGATTTCTGGGAAAATTCAGTTGTGTTGGTCTAGAAAATAGGTGTCAAAGCTAAGAATTGTCCAGTCTTTTGCTTAGTTCAGTGTTATTTTCTTTACTCTCTACTTGCTTCACAAAAAAATTATGTATCTTTGCTGGAATTCGATTCTATTTCATCTTTTACTTGATAAGTGAGAACAAGCCTATGTTGCAGAGATTTTTCTTGGCTCAAAAGTAAAGCTTCATTATTATTATTATTATTATTATTATTATTTATTAAAGCCTAATTGCAGAAACAGCATGATTCCCTCAGCACCCGTTCTCCAAAGCCCCGATAAATCACTCTTTGCAATCCCAGTTTAATTTGTGAGGAGAAGCAAGCCTCCTAAGAGCACATATATCTTGATAACTGTATCCTGACCTGCTTCCTGATCTTCCTCACATGGTTACTGCCAGCTCCGGCACCAAAACCACTCCAGGCACGGGTTCACGTTTAAACCACACTGAATTGGCAAGAAAACACATTGAGCTGTCTGAAAACACACATGTGATGTCTGAGCAAACAAGGCTTTCAAACCAGTCTGTTCTTCTGGCATTTATGGATTCCCCATCACTAAAAACCCCATTTAGGGGTTGTGATTGTTTAGTTTTGCTGCAGAGCTCRGTGCAGCTGGGTGTGTGACCTGGCTTCTGGCAACTGCTCTGTCTCAGGGTGGTGCAGAGTAGCCCCAGCCTGACACTGGATCCACCCTGAGCACTCTGCAGCAGGAAGCTGTACTCACAATCTCAGAACGCAGGCTGCTGGAAAGAGGAAAGGCTGGGTTGAACAGAAAATATTAGGATAAACAGTTTGCCATCAGACTGATTTATGAGAGAGGAGGAGGATGTTGGRGACCAGAGGAACAGCTGGCTCAAAGCAGTTATTGGGGAGAACATGAAGCCAGAGTGTGCCCAAGTGGCCAAGAAGGCCGGTGGCACCTGGCCTGTCACAGGAATGGTGTGGCCAGCAGGAGCAGGAGGGTGATTCTTCCCCTGTGCTGGGCACTGGTGAGGCTGCACYGACTGCTGTGTCCAGTTCTACYTTCTTCTTCTCAAAATATTCTGGAAGCCAGACCAAAAAATTCCAGTCACTGCCTTGTTAAGAGCCTTGTTATGTCTGGAGAAGTAAAAGTTTCCTGAGTGCCTTGTTCTGTATGAATGCTCTGAAGTTGGCAAGTAAAAACTGTTGTTGAACCTCCTGAGAATTTTGTTGTTCTGCACCATCCAGCACAAATAAAACTACCGCCTCTAAACCTGCTGAGCAGGAATTAGAGGAGTCCAGGAAAAAAAGAATACAGAAAGACAAGTCCCTCTCTCCACCTGCCCTTCTCGGATACATTTTTCCCCAAGCCTCTTCTCTCCTGGCTGGGCTGACTCAGAAAAGCCCCTCCTTCCATTTTGATCGAAAGAACTGTGGTCCCAGCAGCACATCCAGAAACCAATCCCTTCAGAAAAGTCAGTATTCCATAGCTTAAGAAATTCTCCTTTTAACAGGACTAAGCCTCATGGTTCTTTATGGTKTTTTCTCAAATGGATGAAGTTCAGCAGGATACATGAGCCAGATGGAGCTGTTGTGATTCCCACCATAACATCGGGTTTTCCTCATCACACATCACCAAATTCAGCCAAATTCAGCTTCTCCTAAAGGTCTTCAGAAAAACACATCCCCAGAATATCAGAATTCCAAGACATTGCAAGTCCCAGTTTAGGATCTCACAGGCACAGCTATAGGTTTACACTTAAACAGCTCTATCCCAAATTCCAGCGCTTCCCAAAGAGTTAGTGGTGCAGTATTCTGTGATTTTCTTGCAGAGCATTTCCACCATCCTTCCTTCCTCKGAATCCAAGCCTGGCTTGGATGGGGTTTGGAGCAGCCTGGGATAGTGGAAGATGTCCTTGCCCTGGCAGGGTGTGGAATGGGATGAGCTTTAAGGTTCCTTCCAACCCAAACCATTCCATGATTCTRTGATCCTTTCCTCATGAAAGGATCTGTGTGGTGTTAAATTAAAAGCTGTTCTCTCCTTCTTACCTCTTTTAAACATACCCTAATTTAGGCACGTTGTCTTGGTTAACACTTTATTTATATCTGAGAAAACAGCCTGCCAAACATTCCTCCTTCTTTGAATTCCTGATAAATATAATTCATTTCATCCAATCCAAAAAAAAAAAAAAAAAAAAAAAAAAAAAAAAAAATAAACCCAAAAAAAAAAAAAAAAAAAAACCAAAGAAAAAAAATCAGCATTTCCCAGAATAGCTTTCTGTGTAAACATCATAGATTATGGCTAAATAAATATTATACAGGGTTCAACAAACTACAAACTCCATCAAGTGAAATTTAAAATATTTCATCAGCTCTTGAAAGTGGGCAGCTACAGCCTGAGTGGTGCAGCTCAGGCTTGGTTTTGCCAAGGTTAAGATTAAAATGACTTTTGCTTGCCTGGATGTCAGCACAAAGTTATCTGTTATTTCACATCTCAGCAGTGATAACTGATCTGCCCTGTTTTCAATAGAAATTTTAAGCCTGCTTATTTTTGAACCAGAARGATTCCGGGAAGCAAGAAGCATGCGAAATAATTTGGCTTTCGTTGGCTGCAGTCATACTAACAATGAAATCACTGCCTTTCAGAGTCCAAAACATGCTTGCCGTGTTTAGTGTGAGTTTAACAGYGTGCCCAGGTATCATATCAGAAACAAACACAACCAAAATGATAGAAACTCATATGGCCCTGAATGGAA